TAGAAAAACAGGGATATATGACCAAATATTAGATTTTATTTATTCTTGTTAATCGTTTTTTGTTTCTATTGTAATTTTTATAAAACTGTTAAGATGTAAAATAAAGAAATACATTTTTGTTACTGTATTGAACTAATGCCCGACGCCCATGCTTTGCATTTTTAATAACCTTTAACATGCGATAAGCCGGTTTTACGCAAATAAGGTTAAGGTTTCCTCTGATTCTAATTCGTGTACGCTTTTTTTATGAATACAACTGTACGATTTCCATTTGGTTATCCGCTTGAATTTGATTTATCTTTCGCTGTGAGTGGTTCGCTAGTTCTGGCGCTAAATTCAAACTTATGAGAAAATGATCTGGTGATCAAACTCGCCCCTTGATATCAAGGTCACACCAATCGACGGTACTAGAAGAATCTAGAATTCAATTAGATGAAAAATATTTTTATTATTTGCAAACTTTTCGTGGTATTTCGTTTAACTTACTGCAAATTAGAGTCTGAATAAGTAAAGTACTATTAGTAGAACCAATTTTCTGAGGTCAGGAGAAATGGGAAAATCAGAATGGCGGATTATAATCGAAAATGTCAACTTTGAAGTCTCTATTTAACGGGCTATAGCTTATACGGCTTGATGTATTTTGACATGCAAGGTGTTTCTAGATTTGTCTTGACAGTGCGAGTGGCACTATTTTATAAAACCAAAATGGCGGATCAAACGGAAACTTCAGCTTTGAAATTTCACGGGCGAGATGTTTTGATAGTGCAATTAAAACTTCGTTCTTCTCAGTTAATGCAGTCGGTTTTTGTATTTTTTAATGAATGTACAAGTGATAGAATGTTTAGCATGACTGTGTTCTCGATGTACGGTATTGCTAGGCAGACCAATAATGAGACGGTGTCATGGCAGGGCCCTTTGAAGAACAGGTCCGTTGGCATATCGGTATAAAAAAGCGAGGTCACCGACTGTTCATCGAGTAAGTCTGCCTGTTAAGCAAGAGTCGCCTATCTGTCGAACAGCCCAACTAAAAAAGCACAGTCGGAGCAAAAGCCTGTCAGGCTGGGTTGTAAAAAAGCCCTACAAATACCTTTATATAGGAGAAGATTTCATAACCCCGCTGCATCCCACAGATTGTCCAATTCTAAAAGAAACCCAGCGTGCATATTCACTTAATAACTTTCTCGAAGCTCAGCAAAAAAAAACTTTTCAAGCCTTTAATTAAATTTTTATTCAGCAACACAGCTCGATGCGATGGAAAGAAACTCAGTCCAGTTTCCAGGAAACTTCTATTTATTCTCGCAGCAATTTTTCTGCGACAATTATATTAAAGGGACATCTCCTGAATGCAAGTTGAGTCTTCATTTATTTACACGACTGTAATTTAGAATACAGCAAACAAAACAAAAAGGATTGGATATAGCCGTTGCTTGTCTTGTTGACATTATTTTGCACTGACGACGTTTTGCATCTCACGAGACATAAGCCTTATATGAAATTTCAACACTTAACTATCACTATGAGAAAAAAAATGGAATTAAGCTTCCCAATTAATGCTTTATTTGCATTTTATATAAGGGAAACCCGGAGAAAGCAAACAACCCGGCAATGATAATTTTCCACTTAATACACAAACCGTTAATCGGTTGTCGTAAAAAAGTACATATACATATTCGTCTAGCTTTCTTCTAGAATTGGCAGTCAGTTGTTGGAGATTCAAGTTGCTCATTTGACTAAGAGATAACAAATATTGATTTTTAAAAAAAAAATTGATTTTGCATATTATTCCAATATTTCCTTCTATACATGAGTCCCCTATTTCCAAAAGCGGCTAAATCCATATTTACGAAAAATGATGTGGGTGCTGCCATCTCATAGTCAAAGGTTCTAGTAATATACTGTAATACATACTCGTTTCCAAAATGCGGCAAAATCCATATAAATCAGCACACTATTTCAGTCTTATTTTCAAATCCGGCTAAAGCTGATTCGTGTTTTATTACAAAAGTGGCTATATCCTTGGTTTTACCAAAACCGGCTACATCCACTGCTACACCAACTATTATGCTCTTCTTTATGAACAAAACCGGCTAGATCCTGTTGACCTGTGTATTATATAGGATTCAATGCGCTACAAGTAGATGTCTGCTCGCAATGCCTTGAATACAGAGAAATGATCAAAAGAGAGAAAGATTTGCAGGTAAAAAACGATGGTCAAAGTGATGATCATTTGACTGCCAAAAAAACTTAGTATTACCGAAAATTCCTGATCAAATAACATATTACAAAAGGCAACTGTATCTTTACAACTTTACTGTTGTCATAGGTCATAGGATCATCAAAAGTAAAACTTTTAAAAGAAAATGTTTATATCCATACATGGCTTGAAACAGAATGTCATAAGGGATCGAATGAAATCGCCTCAGCGGTTTATGATACTTTAAACAAAATCAAGATTCCTGAGAATGTGAAAGAGATTAGACTGGTATCAGATGGCTGCACTGGGCAGAACAAAAATAGTATTGTTCTGTCTATGTGCGCTAAATGGATGTTAGAAGCTCCGAGCCATATCGAAAAACTGCAATTGATATTTCCGGCCACTGGCCATTATTTTTTACCTCCAGATCGAGTTTTCGCCTTGATAGAAAAAAAGATAAAAAACATGACACAATAGTTAAGCCTGAAACGTTTTATAATATTTTCGAAAACCATGGTACTTTAAAAAAATTGGGACAGGACTGGCATATTCAAAATTGGAAAAAGGAGGCCGCAAATGTCATCAAGTCACCAACCTCACTCCATTTACAAATCAAATCATGAAAGCGGTTGATACTGACTCGTTCAAAAAATCTGCAAATCATGGTAAGGGGTGAACCAAATTACCAGTCTGATGTGAATAAGGCTAAAGGCATCTGCAAAAGAGGGAAGAGGATATCGCTCATGCCCCCAGATCCCCAGAAAACGTTTGTATAAATAACTTGAAAATAAATCCCAAAAAACTAAAGAATGTTGATGAACTTTTGACAAAACATTTTGGAACGGCGTGGAAGCAAAAAATTAAGAATTCGAATTGGAATACTATAAGACTGTTATGGATAATCAACAAAGTTTAACACAAGCAGAAAAAAATGATGATGATAATAGTGTGTGCTTTGCTAATACCGAGTGTAGCTTTGAAGCTGATGTATGATTTTTATTTTCGTTTTTAACAAAAAGGACTTTCTACTTCTCAAGTTGAGTTTTAAGTTGATGTACCCTAAACAGTTTACAAGAAAAAATGTATGATTTTCTTTTTTATTCCTTTTTGTTATCTAATGTTAATACATGAGGAAAGAATTCACACAAACTTCGTTTCAATACCGGGTAAATCCTAAGTTCACATTCAAACTCGGGTAGATCCATCCCCAGCCCCCCTCCCCTACTGACATATAAAACAAAAAATATGTTTTATTTTTCAAAAATCCTTTATTGTGCTACAGACATTAATATTACGGTATTACTGACTCACAAACTTACAAATAGTAAGAATTACAGTTTTTCGCCTTTTTCTTAATACCTTCAATTTTGGATATAGCCGCTTTTGGAAATAGGGGACTCACATATATAAATGTGAATATTTGTTCTGTCTGTCAACAGCTTTCTAACTGATATCCGAGGAAGGTTATAGATGTGGTTTTATCTGCGAACTCATCGTCGATTTTGTAATCAATTGTTGCGGCAAGTAACAAGATCTCCAGCGCCAGCGTCAAGCCGGCAACAGCGTAGCCTGCCATCGCCCCACTCTATCTGTGACGGTTTAGTGATACTGGCGTGTTATTTATCACTATTTATTACCCGTGACTTCGTACGCTTGAAACCGTAACATAAAAGATTCATTTTAAGTATTGCTGTAAGCTTCCGATCACGTTTTGTATTGACATCCAACTTGCATGCTTGGGAAATTTGGTTACCTTATTAGTGGCGCCATCTACATGTTCTGCGGGTAAAACCGTGATGCAGAAAGCTATTACTGTCTATTTGAAGAAATTTTTATTGTATCCAACGTATATTTGATTTGAATAAATCACTTCGAGCAAAGTGGATACTCTATTCTCCCGCAATCTTACTTTTGTTCTTAGAGTATTTCAAATCAGTAATATAGATTCTCTAGTGCAAATAGTATTCTAGCGAAACCACTGTTTTTATTATTCAAAGTCTAATTTGACACTCTTACACTACTTTATAACAACACAACTAATTTATGACAAATTTATAACCATGGCAATTGGACATTCTGACTGATCTGTCGCTGTCTGTTGACTGTCTGCTTCTGCCATCGAGAACCTTCATCGAAGTGTGTACATGGTGGTAGATACCTTGGGTGTCGATGCTTCTCGACATTGCCGCAAGCTATACCGTTATTCATACACGTTGGCGTAGCTCTGGTTACCTAAGCGTCGATATTGCAAGAGCGCCTCATCGTTACTGAACGCCCAGTTACAAGGGCGTTGCGGTATATAAATATGAAAAGAAAACAAATCAATAATCTAAGAGATGGAGTAGAATCACTGAGAGAACGTGGACGTGGCCCTCTTGCTTTTCGATGATCTGTATTCCTGAACATTGTATGTAGTCGCTCATGGAGTCATTCACTGGATAAAAAATGCAAAAGGCTCGCCGTCGCCTATTAGTTACTTCTGTAATGATATAGTTAGCTTTGTAATCAACCGTTTAACCATATGAAAAACCTAGAAACACTAGATGCGTTCACAAATTTATTAAATATCAAATAAATTATTTATTTGATAAACGTCAAAACACCGAAAAAGAAAGTTGCCATATATTCAAAACTTCCACCCCTCCAACAACAAATTTTTAAGAGGGACATAACGAGGGCGAAGAATCCTAGTTTTTTGCAATACAGAGCAAGTATGTTTTATATCAAAAATGGTTTTCTTGTTGTACTTTCAGAACCAGAAAGCAATATGTATGTGAACAAACTAATAATACTTCTTTTATTTTAGTATACCTCTACAAACTACACTGGATGGGCAACTTAGATTCAGCAAATGCAACATGTACAACATATCTTATGAAAATTACACCAAGGCATCTAAAAATACCGTTACTGCTCCAAATAATGCTCCAACATCTTCCTGCAAGAATGGCTGGTACTTTGATGGAGTATACAAATCTACAGTCACTGAGGTAAATTGAATATTTTTGACGTTACTTGCTATTTAAATTTAACAACTTCGTCTTTCGAGTCAGTAAAAAAAATGGGTCTAACTTATGAAAGACTTAATATGTCTAGCACGCCATGGCGGTTCGATTGGCAGTCCGATTTGACTTGTTCGTTCCTGTTTTACTTGCACAAATCAATTTATTGCTCACCACGGTAGAGTAGACGTTGATGCTCTGCTTGATAGTAGTTGCTTCCAGTTAGTGCCTTTTACGTGCAATTATACAATGAGTTAACGTGCGAAACGTTTGGTTCAACTTGTAAGAAACCTTTCCTCGAAGTATAGTAGGGTCAAGAAAAATATTACATCGGCGACATTATAAAATAAAATTTTTTCACACTCCAGTTCGTCTTCAGAATCGCCGAACGATCCATTTCAGTGTTCCCACTTTTGCCTTGACTGCTTCGGAACAAGTCATAAATAAATGAAATTATCTTATATTTTGTCTCCCTATATCGTAATTTATATAATATTATATATATATATAAATATAACTTGAGACGTGGTCATTGTCGTCTAGAGCAGTTAGGTGAAAAATTAAAGCTTCCGCCTTTTGTTGGGTACTTCGACAAAAATTTTAAGCAAGGAGGACTCTTTATACCTTTTTTATTCTCTCTAGCTTTCAATGGACTTTGCCATCATCATCAGGAGCTGCAATTACATTGATAACAGTAGCAACAATAGTGTAAAATGAATTTAAATTAACTTAACTTACAGTAGTATGTGAGGATGTTGCTAAATGTTGTTTACGTTCAGGATGAGGGAAACACCCAGTAACATGGTGAAAGCTGGATAAATGCTACAATGGTCAAAATTATATAAAATACACACAACTGTGTGACAAGAACAAGTTAAAAAAAGATTAAAAATTTTTAGAACATGAAAGCATTACATCGTGAAGCCACTTGATGATTGCACAAAATGGTGGGCATGGAATAATGAGTAAGATGAAATATATATATAACAAAAAATAGGAAAATAAAGGGCAAAATCCGCAAAAAGAAGGAAATCACACACGAAGTCCACAATAAGAGCCAACCTATACATTGTAGTATTAAATGGCTAGAAGACCTCGAATTTTCAAGGCGACATCTAACCACAACCACGCGGCCAATTATAGCCACTTGATGTGGTACTTCAAGCCCAAAGGATCTACAAAGAGAAAATGATCATGCGGAGAAAGGTATATAACAAAAAATAGGTTACAGCGGTATCCGGATGTATGGGAATGTGTATCTACTTTTTTAGTTACAAATGTGCATTCATTTCGGGCCTGATGAAGCCAACCAGCAGAAATACGTATTGCTCGGGTTACCTGTCCTATTTTCTGCTCGAATCCAGTTTCCTTCTTTTTGCGGATTTTGCCCATTATTTTTCTATTTTTTGTTATATACCTTTCTCCGCATGATCATTTTCTCTTTGTATATATATATATATATACTACTAGAATCTTGTTTTTTTTTTGTCAATGTTGTCGTGTAGATGTAGTAGGAAATAAATGATATGTAAATCAATAAAGAATTGAATAACTCTATTTAAAACAAAAATACACCAAAAAGTTGTCTTTATGGTATAATCCATACCAGCCACAGCGCTCCATATCTAACGCAAAAATGAATTTAAATATGGACCTTTGGCTGGAGTCACCGTTAAAATAAATTAGATACAAAGCGGGGTCCGTATGGACCGCCGTGGCGTGATATGCCCGATGTCATTGCGGTCCCATGGCGTTTAACGTATTAAAGCGAATGTTTTCTTGCAGCATGCACCTGAGCGAGTGTGAGTGCACTCGGTGGCGCACACCAAATGAGTTATGTATTTATCACTAGTTTCGAACGCCGTAACGCATCCACCATTTAATGAATAAAAATTAGGGCCCAACCGAAAGTCAATTTATTGGCTCATGTCGAAGCCGATCTATGGTCAATCAAATTGTGGGTTGTTTTGTAAGAATGAATTGTTATAATAACGAACATTGTGTTTCTGTTTCTTATAAGTTGTAAATCCAGTTTTAATATGATGTTGATAAAATCTGAATTCTACGTCTTACTGATGTTTGCCTATAGTACTTCATTTCATTAAGGAGAATAGTTATAGGAATGTTGAAAACTAAGCAACATCACAATGTTTCTCTACAGTCCTCGCACAGTCCAATTCCGTTACTGCAAGGTGCATATGTATTGGTACGGCCTGCGACTGGGCGGAAACTGTCTGTCAAACTAGTACTACCTTTATTAAAACAGAGTCTTTCATATTTTTTTCTCCATTTAATCTATACTCAGTGACATTGGAAGTGTTACACCCAGAAAAAATAATTTCTTACACTTGTTTTTTGGAAAAATAAGGACTATATTTAAAGCATACTGTGGCAACAATGTCAACGTTTTATCTTTGTTTTGTCTACCTTTGTTAAAGTGTTATCTCTTAGTTTTTATGAAGAAAGGCGTGTCTGAGAGCTGAGTAGTACATATATTTTCTGTTATTACCACAGTCTCTGCCAGAGCTAATCCACAAAGTTCGAGTTCCTTCGAATGAGGTGCACAACCGGACATCGATCATCTCATTTTGTCGATGACAAGAGATAGACGGATGCAGGAGTGTATTCAGCTGCGGGGTCGTCCAACACATTATTCTTTCTTATTACTTGTCAAGAAAATTTCATGAGAATGTTATCGTTTCATTCTTGATGTAAGAATACCTCATTACCAAAAAAATCAAGTTGAAGAAATTTTTTTTCCGGATGTAACACTTCTAATGTCACTGAGTATACAGGGGAGTCGATTTTACTATAGGAACTACTGTCCGAAAATTAGCCGTTTTCGAATTATACTAATTTTTAAGGTTTTATAAAATTAATGTCCTTTATACGTTAACCAAGTCATAAAACTTGAAAATTGGGTGTTTCATTTGATTTTTTTTTTGTTTTACAATAAAAATATTCTAAAATACGAAAATTGATACTCAAATGTACATTATTGACGTTATCTCATGCAGTAAGCTTCAAAATAGTTCGATTTTTGTTAAAAAAAATCTTTGTTCATCTCAAAATCTTCAGTTTACTAGAAAAAGTCGCCTACAAATTTTTCGTACAAAATAATTAGAAAACATCTACGTTTCATTACCTTTCAGATGAGGTATAAAAATCACAAATCGATTAAGAATTGGCAAAAATATGACTATTATAAGAGGAGGAAGGAAAAAGCAATAAAAAAACTACACTTACAAAATCATACATTAATACAGGATAGTTTGTTTGAAACTACATTTATTTATTTTTATAATATATTTTCAAGATGGCGGCCTCTATTTTTAATGCACCCACGTGCTCTTCTTATGGCAGCTGATTTTACTACCGCCGAATTCCGAAGAGAGGCTTGAATTTCTTGTGCTGCATGTATTATCCTGTTTCTGAGGTCTTCTATTGTGGGTACAGGATTTTGATCAGAGTATACTAAAATTTTCATGCGACCCCAGATAAAAAAGTCCATAGGTGTGAGATCGGGACTGCGTGCTGGCCATGGGATTGGTCCGCCTCTACCGATCCATCGATTCGGAAACTACTCATTTAACCAATTTCTAACACTTAGTCTGTAATGTGCTGGGCACCCGTCATGGTGAAAAATCATTCTGTGTCTTGTGTGTAGCGGCACGTCTTCAAGTAATTCAAATAGAACATTTCTTAAGAAATTTTCGTAGGCTTTTCCATTTAAGTTGTCGGGTAGGAAATGTGGTCCTACCAAACAGATATTTGTAATGTCCATCCAGACAAAATCGCCTTTGAGATCCTTTTGGACTCTTCATAGGAGAATTTCCCACTGCACGTTCACGCCAATGGTGAGCGTTATGGCAGTTTGTTATGCCGTCTTTATCAAATTTTGATTCGTCGGTCCATAGAATTTTTCTTAAATAATTGCTATCTTCAACATCAGCGTTTAAAATAAAACGACAAAATTGCATGCGCCTCATGGCATCTCCTTCCTCTGTGATCATAGATATTTTAAAATTGTTTTGCACGAAAAAATTTGCCACGACTTTTTTTTGGTTAATTAATAAAACACAATGATAAATACCTAACAGTTGGTCCAAGCAAAACAGTTGTCTAGTAGCGTGCAAATTTAGGCACTAGCTCAATAAAGCGGAGAGTAGGGGCGGGTTAAGAGCGCCAGTGACTTAGGACGGATTAAGCCACAACTCCCCGAGATGTTAGTCGGAACTTGTGTTGCTTGACCACCTCACAAAAGGAGAATCTAACAGAGATGACGAAATTTAAGTAACAGTACACACAGAGAGAGCCACAAAAACAAGATATCAAATGGATCACAATATATTGATTAAAATGAACAAAACGCACATGTGCTCCACCACTGGAGTGCGAGAAAGGATATTACCATAAAAAAACTGTCGCAAAATAAAATTAGTTTACCATGGTATACGCTTTACATATATAAATGTTTTACGCCTAAACTACACTTATCTGGGCGGAGGTCTTCTCTCAGTTACGGCTAGGCGCAGCCGAGATGTATCCCAGGTCAAAAAGAACAAAAAAAAGGAAGCCAGTAGTGGGCACATCACTGGGCAGGGGCTGCTTGCCTCGGTCCCAAAGATTATGATGGTAACAGGAAAAAAACCTAGAGAGAGAAAGACTGTTTAGAAATCTACTCTACTCTCTGTCTGAGATAAAACGACTCATTAAAAACAATCGCACTTGAAGCGAAACCATGCACATTTTTTTTCGTATAAGAAAAGTAAAGCAAAGGCAAAAAAAGATAAAAATGTACTAAACTAATATACCCTTGTTCTAAAAAGTTATGGCAGCTCAAAAATGAAAATCATGATCAATATAATAGAAGGTGCCATGTAGGCATTGCCCCCATATTTGAATACGTAGAATGTCTAATAAAATCAAGAAGTCTCTAAGAATTTCAATAAGCAATAATAAATGTATAAAGATCTATGAAATTGTTAATTAGAATGATATTTTACCTGTCCACATCAGGGTTTTTTCAAGGGGATGGCTTCCAATTTGCAAAACTGCAAATAACTGGAGCAGACTAAAGATGACGATCTTCTTCTGTTTCTATTGAGAAAAAGAAAGCAGATATTGAATGAACGTCATTAGGATACGCATTGAGGCACGCGGTCCGAAGGTATATGAAAAAAAGAACTTACCGCTGAGTGTCAAAATCCATAAAAAATGGAAGACGTAGCACCCAAAATAACTAAACTTAAGTCACACAACAAAAAGAAAAGGGTGCTATTCTATGAATGGGTGCTTGGGGCCTAATATCCCAGAGTCTGGAAAACGACAAAAAGACCCCTGCACTACGCGACCTCAACGGAAACTGAAAAGCGAATCACAGAATACGTAACGTTCTAGAGGAAGGAATCTTGAGTGGCCTTGAAGAAGATATGTTTTATAAGAAGCCAACTAACGGAGAAAAACTGCAGAGTTTTTTGCTGAGAAAGAAATATATAATACGAGTGAAATTACACAATCAATAAACTATTAAATTTGCAAAAAAAACTCATTGAAAAGGTGTTTGGTCTAGGAATGGGCACTCTATTATCAATGAGGAGGAATTCAAATTACTGATAAGTGATAAATAGAAAAAAAGGTTACGTGATTTTGGCACGTGACAATTTGTAGGTGATTGTTTCTAGTAAATTGAGTTTTTGAGATGAACGAAGATTTTTTTAACAAAAATTGAACTATTTTGAAGCTTACAGCATGAGATAATGTCAATGGTGTACATTTGAGTATCAATTTTCGTATTTTAGAATATTTTTATTGTAAAACCAAAAAAAATCAAATGAAACACCCAATTTTCAAGTTTTATAACTTGGTTAACGTATAAAGGACGTAAATTTTATAAGATCTTAAAAATTTGTATAATTCGAAAACGGCTAATTTTCGGACAGTAGTATATTACACGTGAGCAATGTTTGGTTAACGTATAAAGGACGTAAATTTTATAAGATCTTAAAAATTAGTATAATTCGAAAACGGCTAATTTTCGGACAGTAGTATAATACACGTGAGCAATGTTTGTTCCAGTGGAACTTGGTGTGCGACAGAGACTTCTTGGTCACTCTAGCTTTGGTACTTCTTGGAGCCAGCGGTTTGGTCGGCAACTATATCTTCGGCTACATCCAAGATGGCATGGGAAGAAAACCAGCTTACTTCATATACTTGTTAATCCAATGCATCTTTGGAACAGCAACAGCATTTGCCTCGAACTATCTCATGTGGGTCATATTCAGGATCGGAGTCGGCTTCACAGTACCGGCCATTTTGGGCACACCGTACGTTATGGGTAAGATAGTAGAAAGTAACGTGAAATTATCCACAACGGATAAAATTGATTGATCAACTGATCTTCATTTATTGGGTATAATTAAACCCTTTGTATTGTGGCACCCCAAGGAAATATTCAACTTGTCATCGCTTGCAATGCAAGATTGTAAGGGTTGACAACTCGTGTCATGAAAACAGACTGGTTTTGAATGCTGTTAAGTGTCACGTTTTGTCGTTTACTTTAAGAACAGGGGTAATGATGTATGAATATAGTATTGGTGACAGGAAACTTGACAGACCTAATACAATTAATGACTTGGGAGTCACATTTGATCACATCGAAAATGCCGTTGTGGCTGCATCAAAGGCGTATGATTTTATTGTAAGAAATACTGGTGATTTCCACTACTCCTTTGTACTGAAAATACTGTACTATGCTTATGTAAGATCTAAGCTTGAGTATGCGTCCCTTGTATGGTATCCTCATCATCAAATATATATTGACCGCTTAGAGTCCGTTCAAAGAAAGTTTTTAAAATACCTCTCATACAAAGCTGACGGGATATATCCTATTGGCTTTCCTCATAGTGAGTTGATGGTGAGACACAAAATCTATAATTTAAAGAGCAGACGCAAAAAGAATTCACTTAAGTTCATTCACAAGCTCATCCATGGCATTATTGACTCCAGTGTCATCTTAGAACAACTTAACTTCTTTTTTTTTTTTTTTTATATCGAAACAGCCGCGCAGGCAGAAGCCTAAATGCCGGAACACCGCGGCTGCTATGATGATCCCAACGAAATTTTGTTAATACGATTTTTGAACTGCCTAAGGTTAGTAGAACTGGGAAAAGCTTCCTCACGTAGTTTGTTCCACAATCTAGACACCCTCGGGACAAAGGAGCGGTCGTATCGGCCAGTTCTGGATGTACGAAGTTTGACACGGTTAGGATGGGACGCCGAAGTCAGGCGGGTCTGTCTGGCAGGCACATCGCGCGGCGGCATCATGGAAGAGAGCTCTGAGGGGCAAAGCCCGTTGGTGTAGCGATAGAAAAGAGCTAGATCGCCGACGGCCCGCCGGTGCGAAAGAGTCCCGAGGCTGTCCGTTAGAGAAGAGTCATCGATCAGTCGGACCGCCCTCCTCTGGACAGCATCGAGCATGGACAATGTAGTCGGGGCGGCAGCACCCCAAATGTGTGAGCAATACTCGAGGCTAGGCCTTATCTGGGCCTTGTATAGAGTGAGAAGGTCATGCGGAGAAAAGTACTTCTTAGCCCTAAACAAATAGCCTAGCTTTTTCCCAGCAGCTGCAGCTATTGAAGAGATGTGTTCGTGCCAGATCAGGTCCTCGGTGATCTGGACTCCGACCAGCCGAAATGAATGGCTCTTTGGTAGAACTCGACCGTCCATCGAAACTGTATGAGCGCTAGGACGCTTTTTGTTCGTCAAAGTACAGTACTGTGTTTTGGAAGCATTGAACTGTACAAGATTGTTGCGTCCCCAAGCAGTGATAGCCTCCAGGTCTCTTGTCAGAGAAGAAGTCGTCGCTAGTCTTCTTTTTTCCAGCTCAGCGGCAGAGATCGGCTTGTCACTCTGAATTCCTGCATGTAGAGTGCTGTCATCAGCGAAGCTGTGGATTGGGTTGATCGTGCAGGAAAGGAGGTCGTTGATATGTAAGAGAAACAGTGTTGAAGCCAAGACCGATCCCTGGGGAACACCCGCGTTGACGTTGTGGGATGAAGAGGAGAATCCGTCAATTACGACGGATATCTTACGGCCAGAGATAAAGTCAGCCACCCATCTGCAAAGCTTTTCTGGGAGGCCGTAGGATGGAAGTTTGCTCAAGAGGGCAGCGTGCCACAGCTGATCGAACGCTTTCGTGATGTCAAGAGCAACGACATGAGCCTCACCATGAGACTGGATGAGTTTACTCCACAGTTGCGTGACGTAAGCTAGGAGGTCCCCTGTGGATCGTTGGTGCCGGAAACCGTACTGCCTGTCGCTAATCAAGCTGTGACGTTCGAGGTAGTCCAGAAGCTCGCGATTTATGCACCTCTCCATCACTTTACTTATAACAGAAAGCAGAGCTATAGGCCTGTAGTTGTAAGGGTCGGTTTTAGATCCTTTTTTTGGGATGGGCTGTACATGAGCAAATTTCCAGTTTTCTGGGAAGGTGCCGGATTCATAAGATATCTGGAAGAGACGCGAAAGAACTGGAGCAAGCTCAGCTGCACATCTCTTCAGTACAATGGCAGGAATCAAGTCCGGACCAGAAGCTTTGTTGATGTCGAGCGACAAGAGCACTCGTCTTACGGTCTTATGCCTGAATGTTACCTCCCGCATAGTGTGGGGAACCCTTTGAATTGACGGCACTTGGGCGTTGGTGGGGACGTCCATGGTGGAGTTGGCAGCAAAGATCTTGGCTAGCACTTCCGCCTTGGCCTTTGAGTCGAATACAATAGTTCCATCCTGACACGTAAGTGGTGGAAGGCTACTGTGTGAGAAGTTCTTTTCAATCTGCTTGGCCAGCGTCCAGAAAGACCGACTGCCATTGCGCTGCGACATTACCCTGTGCCTAACTTTTATATCATGCTGGGTTTTGGCATTGCGAACCGCTTCGTTATATTTGTTTCTGGACTCGACGTCGGCTTGTCTGTTCTCCACAGTGGGGTTTTGTAAGTAGGTTCTGTGGGCCTTGATCTTCTGCTGGCGAGCAGTGTCACACGATTTGTTGAACCAGCCGTTGGACCCTGGTTTAGGAACTTTCACTGTGTGAGGGATGTATTCCTCCATTCCGACGTGGATAATTTCGGTTATTGAAGAACAGACAGTCGACGCATCCGTGTCAGTGAAACAGACATCTCTCCAGGGAAAGCTAGAGAAGAAGTCTCTGAGCCCCTCCCAGTCGGCATGTCCATAATTTACAAGTTTTGCGGCCTGTGCGAGTTTCTGCGGCCACAGCGGCTTCTGACCGAAACCTAACCTCCACAACACCGTGATCCGAGTTACCCAGGGGGGACAGGACGGCAGTGCTGTAAGGGGCAGGATGCGTGGTCAGAAAGAGATCTAGCAGGCTACTGGCGTGTGAGGAGACGCGGGGAAAAAAAGTAGGGCTCGTCACCAGCTGGGTCAGCCCTTGAGTAAGAGCGAACGCTTCGACTGCACGACCTGCTGCATCGGTCTTATTTGAGCCCAACCAAAGCTCATTGTGGGCATTGAAATCACCGAGAAGAACTACCTCTGAAGCGGGGTGATTGATGTTCAGGAAGTCGATCTGGACGGCGAGGTATTCGAGTAGGTCATCCCAGTTATGGTTCGAGGGAGAGCGATAAAGGCAGCAAATAAATTTGGGTGATGTTTTGGAGTTGAGGCGAAGCCACAGAATGTCCTTCCGGTCTGATTCCAAAGAAAGATCCCTGGACCAGGAAAGACTGCTGCGGAAAAAAGCCACAACTCGGGTTCTTTCTCAGATTGGAGTGCACCTCGTAGTTTGGGAAGTTGAGATGGTTAATCGGTGCAGCCTCTGAGATTTTTGTCTCCGCCAAGAAAAGCACGGCGGGACGATTGGATTGCAGGTAGTGATGAACAGCATCAATGTTGCTGTTGATCCCGCAGATGTTCGAAAAACAAATTTTATCTTCGATGTTGTTCCCTCGAGCCCACCCTCCACCCGGACATTCCGAGAGTGGAGTGAGTTTACGTCCGGAGTTTTTAGTGCTCGAGGATCCATCATCATTAATTTCTTTGTTTTGGTAGATAACCGACTGCATAGCTTAGGTGTGGAAACATGCGGACATTTATAAGACACCCTGGGAAAAGCTAGCGGGTGGTACTGCCTCGGTCGACTGGTCCTTGTCTACCACCTTCTTTTTACGTATTAGTGATGTTAAATAGACCTAAAGTGGCCCGTTGGCGGACTTGTACCGCCACCCGGCAATCGGTACTGAGGTATTCCTTAACGCGTGCGCAATCACTTGGACGGGAAGAAGTTGTATACTGGATACAACGACTTCCGGAACAAGCATTTGCCACGGCCCTCGCTCAGTAGGGGACAACTTAATTCCTAGATTATAGCGTCATGAACTAGTTTAACTTTTTGCTTAGCCAGGCCTAGGACTGACATACCTTAAGTTTTCCCCTATCTATGTAATGTACCGTAATTATAATTTAGTTAATAGCGTTTTAGATATATTTTCGTTTTGTCCGACTTTGGGAGACGTTAATGCTTATTTTCGTTAATGCTTGCCGGTGAGATTGTTGAGTGCTGGGTAGGTAAAGCTACAACGCTTGTTTTCCTCGCAGTTCTGTTTTGAGGTTTTTTTTGCAGCGTTTTAGCTTTCTCTATATACATCCACTACATGCATTTGTTTATATTTTCATGTTTATCCATCCCGTAATTGGCTATGGCTGTTGGATGTTGCTAAATAAATAAAATTAAAAAATGGTAGCACCGGCTTTGAGAGAATGGAAACATATACTTATGGAGCCTACTATTACCTGAATACGAAGGGGTGCATGAAAATGCATTATATGAAGTTGAGTCATTAATTTTCAGATAATGATTGTAGAAGGAAGATAAACCAAAATATGTGTAAAAATAAAAAAAAAATAAAAAAAAATGTTACCTTGTTTTATAAAGTATCCTCCCGACAAGTATTTCAGTGCGGACCTGTATTTGATCGTGCGGTCTTGGAGCACCGGCATGCCCTCCCCTGTGAGGTCTTAAGTCACCTGATTCACGAGCTATTTGTACTACATTAACAAAGGCACGAGGGGTTGGTTGCACTCGATTAAGAATAAGAATCATGTCCACAAGTTCAGCATTTTCGTAAACATGTGCCATTTTTTATTTCGTTTGAGCCACGCAACAAACACCACTGTTGACTCCCACGTTACCGACTGAAACATTGACTGACATTGTGATAAACGTTTCAAATTCTTTCGCTTTTTTGTTTCCGATGCGATGAACCGATAAGGCGGATTATATCCGTTGTTGCCAAACACGAGCACATAATATTATTATTGAGACAGGGCGGTACTCAAACTTCTAAAAGACTATAACTTTGTTAATTTCATTTTACCAGAAAAATGTTAAAGGAAAAAAACATTTATTTTGATCAGATCTATTCACTGTTAAAATAAATGACTCAACTTCGAAGTCACCCTGTAGAGTGAGCAAATGAGAGATATTATTAACGACCTCTATTCAACGACGAATATACAATATTATTTTTTTTAATATTTTCTGCAATTAATAAACAATATTAATTAAATCGATTCATATAGATAGTGTCCATCAGATAGAAGGGACATGGAATGTTTTCACTTCTTTTAATTCACACTGTTGCTAATTTTTTTCATGCACTCTTCAGAAAAGTCATGATGCACTGCAAAATCGAACCATTCGGTAAACAACTACTTTTTATGGCTTTTATGCCATCTTTTGATTCATATTTGAATAAAGGATGATTTATAGTATGATTCTGGATTTTGGACCAATCAGCGGCAATGACGTAACTTTCTTTTCCCAAGTATTTCGCCAATTTTCTATTTCTATTCCAGCAATTGAACTAGTCGGTCCGAAATATAGAGTGACCGTTACCATCCTGATCAACATTGCCTACTCCCTATCTTTAGTCTCTTTAGCCATCATCGTCTGGGCTATCACAGATTGGAGGTGGATGGCCATCCTCACCACGCTGCCTTTCGCAGCTCTGTTTGTCACTTGGTGGGTACTACCGGAGAGTCCTAGATGGTTGCTAGCTCGAGAGCGCTACGATGAAGCAGAGAGAATTCTTTGCAAAATGGCAAAGTAAGTATAATATTTACCAATTAGATAACAAGCAAATGACACAAAAGTCACTGCTAGCCGTATGTATTTGTTGTAGTTTGCTTTTTACACAGTTTAGACTTTTCGCACCCGACTCGAGGCTCAGCCTCGAAAGTTAATTCGGAGCCGAGATATGTTGTGTGTTGTCTATATCACGCAGCAGATCGGTGCAAGATTAACGATAGATACGTCGCATTGCTGGAGCTGCTTTATTCAATAATCGGTTACCAGTAGATGACTTGTGGAGTAGTACAGTGTTGATTTGTGGTATTGATACTACGGGGAGGTAATAAGGATCATCATTACATGTAGCATTACCCATTAAATTCTCACAATCTGTTCAATATACGACAATTTTTTGTAGAGTCAAAATGATAAGGCAATTAAATCCCTTCTAAATTGTTTCTATTACTTTTTTACGTGGAATAGATTGTTTTCGAGGTTTTCGATCAAACGCGTTTATCAAAATGGCGGCAAATGCATTTCTTAGCCTAATCAGAAATGAATGATGGTTCGCGCAGTCCGGTAGTGCATTCCATGAACTATGGACGCGTACCTTGAAACACTATCCAGCTTTGATCATTGCGTTAATGTAACGCTTTAAGCCTAGACTCTGTAACGCTGATTGCAGAGTCTAGGCTCAGCTACAGTTCAGCTTCCAAAAATAATATAATGTATATATCCTTTGACATAAAGCTTTGAATCTAGTACCCTGCTTATGGCTTTGTAACCCCAAATATTTGGATTCTGAGCCTTGAAGGTCTTCTTAGCAACTGAAATGTGCTGAAGTTTCTTTGTGCTCTGTGTAAAACCAACATCTATTCTTGAAGCAAGTCCTCACTAGATACTGGATTTCATTATTTTGTGGAGCCATTAGCTAGTCTCTGCTCCAATTTACAATTGCAAGGATTTTTTTCTTCATCTAAAGCAATGTGTTCTAGTTAGTTGCTTTTTTGTTCAGTTGTGGAACTAAAGATTATCCTGCTATTTTCCAGAGTGAATGGTAAAAATGTCTCCAAAGACTTCCTCCAAAAGCACATCGCATCGAAACCGCAGGATTTGGATTCTAAGCAGCCTGCAAATCCAGAACAAGAGAAATATGGCATTCGACATCTCTTTAGATACAAAAACCTTCGATGGAAAACTGTCATAATAACTTTCTTGTGGTTTACAAATACCAGTGTTTACGTAGGTAAGATTAGGCGATTATAGCTAGAATATAAATTGCCTAAATAGTTGATATACTCCGAAAATGTTTTTTTGTCAAACGTAGTCGTTACCGACGTATCCCATCAGTCAGTTACGAAAAAGGCGTCGTATTTTTTATTATATAGTATAGTCTTGTCTCTGACTACATGTGTCCAGCTAAAACAGTCAGACTGGCAAAAAGTAGTCGATTCAGTTCTGAAACGCAACATTATATAGAACTTCGCAAATTCTTTTTTTTCTCTTCTCTCTCCTACGTCCTTCCTTTCTTTCTCCCTCTCCACTTTCCCCTACAACTTGTCTGGTTTCTGTGCCACCAGACCTGACAGACTGACGACAGACACTGACATTACAGTGACTATGATCTAATTGCTAAGGTCCTCCGGACCGCCTTGAGAAACAACGGCGAGTAGTAGTAAAAGTTCGCCTCAAACCGTTCGTCAATTCATCATTTGACAAGTGAATCCAAAGTTTCCTCGCTCATCGGACATTGACTACATAGTTTTAGTTGCTAATGGATCTTAAATTTTATGTATATTTATAGCCAGTTTTCTAATTACGTACTGGATATTGTAGGTCTTTCTTATTATGCCCCAGCACTCGGTGGAGATGAATACCTTAATTTCTTTCTGGCTGGAGCAGTAGAATTCCCCACTTACCTTTTTCTGTGGCCAGCTATGGAACGACTTGGCAGAAGATGGACGTTATGTATGAGCATGATCGTTGGGGGAACTTCATGCTTAGCTACTTTTGTTGTTCAAGAAGGTAAGAAGCTCATGCAGTTATTAGCAAATTTTTTAACAGTCTTTTTCATGCAGCAATTTGTGTAACATACATTTTACTTAAATCCTAGAGATACTAATAAAACAATAAATAATTTAGATCTACATAGTGTTTTCCAAAAAAGTCTCGACTACCAATTTTTTAACATGCCAGATTAGCAATCCAGAATGCGAGGGATAAAATTGATACATAAATACTATTGTAGTACCCTGTATAGTGTGGTAGGTCACAGACAGCTAGTCTATCAGTTTTGGTCAACGAATTCAGACCAGGTAGAAGGAACCAATCAAGGATATGTTTGTCCCTAATTGTCCAACCTTAGACGTCTGTGAAACTTAATTCCCTGCAAAACATAAATGAGGCACGTAGAATAATAATAGTCTAACTCCTCAGATGTTCCAGTATTATCCTGAGTGCATGATTATACCATTTTTACAGTGAACTATATTGGATTCAAATCAGAATAATAGTATGATGGTGCCATCTATTGACCGGAGACTGAAACAAGGAATTAGACTAGCTTTATACTGATAGATCTAGGTAGATTGATACCTTTTATGTGAATGGGGCAAATTCTAAAAAGAGTGGATTTAGACCATTATTATTATGTGTCTCAAATGGTACCTATACACTTGATAAATCTGTATTTTTTAGTTATTTAATATCAACCGATATTAATTATTTTTTATGTTTATTTTCTATTCCGGATGAATGATGTAATTTTTGCACACAGTCCCTATACTAAATATAAAATATATTAGCTAATATATCTATGTAGCTTACTTTTTCCTATTTACAGCAGCTATCCATTCAATTCTTTGCTCAGCATTTATTGTGACACATTTCTAGAATTTGAGCATATTTACATTAAAATTTTCTGTGGAATTGTACGAAATATAGCAATTTGACGCATACCAGTCCCGAGTTATTTAACATTTATGCCACATCGCGCGCTACGAACGATTTGATGATATGGAGACATCTCCCACATGAAAGAGAGTATGCTAGCGCCTCAAAACACTTGATTTTTTGCAGATTACTTAACTACATTAGTCTTGTACTGCATGGGCAAAATGGGCATATCGTCATCGTTTGTAGTTCTACCCCTAATGGCCTCGGAGCTGTACCCAACTGTTGTCAGGGGACTTGGAATGAGTCTTAGTTCTGTTATCGGCATGTTGGGACCGATTTTTATACCGTTAGTGAATTATTTGGTGGGTATAATTGCACGATTTAAAATAATTTTCCTTTGAAGCACGAGTAATGAATTTAAATAATAATTTCGAAATGAATTAAAAACTCTTTGAAAAACAAACACGTTTATCCATTTGGCAATACAAACTCCACAAAATCTTCTACAGTATTGTTGCGACAATTGAACAGGCAATGAAACTTGTAGATCTAAAGAAACTGGCAATTGGCAAGCACAATTTTGAGTGATACTAAGTCGACAGAATATGAACATTTTACTTCTCAATATGTGCTTTGCCTTTGCACTTTTCCTACGTATAAAAAACGTTTGACATGCTAAGTTCTAGTGTCATGCAGTGAGTTTTGCCACGCCCTGAACTGTGACGCTATTTACCATGGAGGTTAGGCTTCCGTAAGGTGATTGTCACACGGTCAGTACTCACAACAATAATTACTGACGTGCAGGTTACACAATTATTACATTCCATTGTGAATACTGGCGAATCACATTAAATACTATTCATGTGACATTCGCCTGTGTGATACAAATAGCCTTTTAATCTTCTACGTTGACAGTTTGATAGGAAATGTGTCACGTTCTATTAGTGTCCAAAAATAAAAATTAAATTATTTTGGTCAATTCCTTCTCCAAAAAACAAAGACCGTTAAAATGTACGAATATCCAGCAAGATAACGAAGATCTTCCTTTAGAAATGGATTACACTCAGATCCAAAATTTGATGAACAGCTCGACCAATCAGAGAAGACCTTTGTGAAATGCAATTTAATACATATATGTTAAATATATTAGAATATCAGTTACTTCAATTGAAAGTTTAAATATAGCCGTGAAAAAAGGTTGCATCATAAATGACGTTCATTTTCTGAATCTAACATTATCGACTAGCTATTTTTTATCACTTTCACAAATAACGCAATAGCTGGCAATCCGTCAAATCAGGGCAAGCCTGATGCCAAATGTACAATCGACCTCAGCTATTGAAAATACTTTAATTTTATCTAAGTAGCCCATTCTCAACATTTCGCAAACAAACGCCTTCATTTTTGTTTTGCTGCGACTTGGCTGAAACCTACTTTATACGTCTTGAGCAAGGTGCACAATTTATTTTAATTTGTTCTAGATATAATTTGTATTTTGTTGCAGGGTTCAGACATGTTAACACTGCCATTAATAATCATGGGAGCCTTACTGATAGCTGGTGGCTTGTGCTCCTTACTACTTCCCGAGACCCTAAACAAACATCTGCCACAAACTTTAGAAGATGCCGAGAAAGCACCATTAGACTGCTTTGTATGCTGTGAAATTCCCCAGAAAGAAGAACTCGTCTCGGAAGAAATACGGGAGACACCAATTTAATTAGATAAGCAAAATAATTTCAACTCACGTAAATGACATTGTGGAATGTTAGAGAAAAAAATGTATTAAATCTGCATGCCGTTCCTTTGAATCAAATAAAGTTGTGCAAAAAAAAACCAAAGGTGACACGCCACCTATGAAGAGTTTCGCTAATCGCGGTACTGATAACCCTTAACGCTGGCATCTCTGAATGACAGCGTTTGCATCTATAAAGTCAAACATAAAACACCCACCCGATAGACGTCCCATTGTCACTCGCGGGGATACCAGGCACCCATTTTTTGCAAAAGCTGCACAAACTAAACACAAGCTGAATAGGATGATTGATTTCCATATCTGCGACCATAACCAACCGAATACAACAATATTTCATGCTTTTTGGAGACAGATTCCATTCAAGCTGTGTCGTGTGTTTAGTTTATGCATACAACGTCAATACACTGTGAGTACAATGGGACGGAATGGCGGATCTAAGTACTGTGTTGTCCGAAGCTTAAAGTTGGCATGGTGCCTGTGTATTGGAATATCATGATTTTGGAAGCATACGTTTTATCTACTCTGGGGCACCATAAACTGCACTCTGGGTCCCTTTGAGTCCCGGAGCTCGACGCACAGTGGCACAGTACGGTATCGTAGATCCTCCCCTGATGGGACGCCGATGTGGTGGGTGTTTCTTATTTGGCTTCCTAGAAGCAAACGCTGTCATTCAGAGATGTAATTAATGCTGACAACGTAAAAGCGTTGGCAGTACCCCAACCCACGAACCCTTGATTGGTCGCGTGTCACCTTTGGCTAATTTTTCGCACATCACAATATTGAGTTTTTCAATAGACCCATTTCAGATGTTTGCTCTCCGTTATCCATTTACAAACTACTAACCCTTCAATGTACTGATGTTTGCTAAAATAATGAACGTTGCTTATGGTCGCAAAGGCGAAAAGCAAACATAATATTCAGCCTGAAATTAAAGTTTCTTTTATGAAGTCATAGATCTTTACTTTCTACTATATGTGCGGTAAGAATTATTTTCTTTGAGATAATCGGTCCTTTATTCGTGTCGAAACTGCTACTCGTTATTATCTAGCTCTTTGAAGGGAAAAATCGACATTTGATCCATACACAGATACAGCCATACAACTCAAAAGTGCGATTTGCAAAAGACGACGCGTTGAAACTTTTCTCTGCTCTAGTATATTAATTAGTAGATTTATAGCCTCTGGAAAAATGATTTCAACTAGTCAGTTAGTTATTTTTAGACACATTATATAAAAAAGGTTTAAATGATTTTCTTGAATGCGGGCGGATTATACTGAAATTGTAATGGAACATTCATTTGGGAGCAAAAGTAGTACTGAGCTGCAACAAGCTGATTTCTACTTCTGAAGCAAAATGACTGATACAGGGTGAAACCTCCACCTTTGCAGATGTTTCTGGCATTTTTCGTGATGAAAGTTTGCTGGATTCGCAAAAACTGCAAATTTTGAATTACATGATTTTTATGCATAAAAAATGTACACAAGACATTAGCATCGTCTGGATCAATGTACCTCTTAAAGGAGGTGCATCGACTTCCTCAAGTCAAAGTAGTTCAAAATATTACGAAATATCATAAGTTATGGAAATAATCGAAATACCTGTCGAACTACTTGAAATACCTAAGATATCTAATCGAAACACTTGAAGTATTTCTGAAGATTAAAAAGGGTGGATGGTGCTATTCTCAAAATAGACTAATATGTCACTGTGAATAAGAACACCAGGATTCACAAGAAATATATTTATATACACTTTTTATTGAACTTACAAGAATTTATAAAAAGTATAAAACAAAGATCATCATATCAACATTTAAAACAACTTCACAATCACTTCGCAGTTCAACGCATCTCTATACATTAACCTGAAAAGTGCTTATTTTGCTTATGATACTAGCGGAAACATCAGATTTCTATTTTTGACAACATTTAAAATATCCTATTTTAAGGTCAGATTTCACTTGAGGGCTTATTTTCCAACAACACATAATATAAAAACAAGCGTAATTTAGTGTCAATTGCTGAAATCACAGCCAATATAGCATCCCTTCTGCATGCAATACTGGATCACCGATCTCCAATATATATCCTGACTTAACAAATTCGGGTTACCAACTATCACCAGCACAGACTTTGCCCTGGATATGGCCACGTTCAGCCTCTTGGGATTCACCATGAATCCCAACTTGTGGATCATGTCGAAAGTGATATATTCCGGGCTGGACCTTACTGTTGAAAGGAGGATCACGTCATATTCCTGACCTTGAAATTCTTCTACGCTACCGACTTTTGGTATCAGAAACTCAGCTTCTACCATCAGAGAGCGTATTTCTTGGACCTAGAATGACAAAAATGGGAGAATTGTATGCCGCCCTCTTCACCTGTTCAGGAACTTAGGGTTCGTCCATTAATCACGTAAGGCTCGAAAAGAGGGGAGGAGGTTCGGAAAAAAATCACAAAATATTTCAAGGGTAAAAGGGGTGACTGATATATCACATGTATTTATTCTCTTTTACTTCCCACGCCTACTGGCCTATTAGACATATTTCAAACATCATAGATTTCTCCGTACATTATTCGCCCTGAAATATTCTCAGCAGCCGGCCGCTGGCCGTGATGACTGTTCGGTTGTACCGGTATGGTGTTACATGTATTTCTGCCGCGCCACGGCATATTGTTTCCTACGCTCTGACCGTGCTGCCACGTCTGACTAGGTTAAGTATCGAAGACAGGTGACGTTTCCTGATAAACTATCGGTAGAACAGGGAAAGTGTCTCTGGACTAATTGTATGGACGTGTTTGATTGAATTTTTTCTCAGAGGGCCTAGTTTGTGCTGAACATAATCCTTGAACCGATAACGGCGTTGCGTGGGAAGTGCAGAGTAAACCTACTTGACGCCATTTATGAACGTGAGATTTTTAAACCAAAAAGCGGCGTGTAACTTTGACTCGTTGTCAGGCATCGATTTCCCGGCCCCCGCGACATCCATCCGGTTTGACTTGCAGTCGCGGGTAATAAACATTTCCTTTTTTATTTTTATCGGGGATCGACCGATAGCGATACGTATGGACTAACTTTCCGATAATATATGAATTGACCCATATGGCAATATAGCCAGACAGATAGATACAAATCATAAAGTGAATAAAGTTCAAAATTATTTAATTGAAGAAAAACAATATGTAAATATGTATACATTTTCTGTTTTTATGAATAGGATGCAAATTGCACTAAAGACATTTATTTGAGAATGTTGTTGAAATATCTTGTCACGATACTATTTTTCGGGATTTTAAAATTTTTCATATAGCAATAAACAAGTGCCTCCAAAACAAAAATCAAGTACGACGCAACTCACACTAATGAAACCAGTTTCATAAAACGGAACTTGCAACGGATAGAAAACCTAGTAGGAAACTCAGGACTATGAACGTAATTTTACAAAACCGGGTTTCACCAAAATGCTTTCCTTCGAATCAGTTTCAGGTTACAAGTGGTGATTTCCAGACGTAGGATTTTCCTTTGGATTTGAAGGGTTTCCACGGGGGTTAAAGGAAAAATGGAGGCAAAGCGATATTCTTAAATTATCAAATTCTGATGATGAACAGCTTACAAACTTTCATTTTTCTTTCTTGTTTCTCAGATTCCTTGATAAACAAACGAATTCTCATCGTCGCGAGAATGTATATCACTATTGTCATAACTGACGATGGAAGGATTTCGAATATACGAATGTTTTATAAAACTTATTTTCTGAAAACGGTCGCTTCAGTGTGCATCATGTTATAGACATGTTGAAGCCAATGCAAGGACCAACGTATTGGCACCGGATTATGTATAGAAATAAAGGGGGGACGACATATCAGCTTCCGAAATATGGGAATCGGCCGATTATTTATCGGCCGACCTATAATTTTTGTACCAGTCAGAGACAACCTGAAACCTCAATATCTGCAAAGGTGCCAATTTTCAATTTTTAAGATACTCTATACATACATAAAATGAGAAAATACATTTTTGAAACTAGCTTACATTAAGCTGTTCATAAAATGAACAAATAATTTAAAAATATTTTTCCGACTGAAAATATTTACTCGATAATGAAGCTTCCAATAAAATACTGTTCCATCCTACTGTCAAAACGTATCACGCTTTTATATGAAAACTTGCGACGGAGGAGCTTCATTATAGTTTACCTGCTCCCTACTGAATGCTTGTTCCGGAAGTTGTTGTATCCAGTATACAACTTCTTCCCGTTCAAGTGATACCTCAGTACCGATTGCCGGGTGGCGGTACAAGTCCGCCAACGGGCCACTTCAGGTCTATCTAACATCACTAACACGTAAAAAGAAGGTGGTAGACAAGGACCAGTCGACCGAGGCAGTACCACCCGCTAGCTTTTCCCAGGATGTCTTATAAATGTGCGCATGTTTCCACACCTAAGCTATGCAGTCGGTTATCCTCCAAAACAAAGAAATTAATGATGATGGATCCCTCGAGCACTAAGAACTCCGGACGTAAACTCACTCCACTCTCGGAATGCCCGGGTGGAGGGTGGTCTCGAGGGAACAAGATCGAAGATAAAATTTGTTTTTCGAACATCTGCGGGATTAACAGCAACATTGATGCTGTTCATCACTACCTGCAATCCAATCGTCCCGCCGTGCTTTTCTTCGCGGAGACAAAAATCTCAGAGTCTGCACCGATTAACCATCTTAACTTCCCAAACTACGCGGTGCACTCCAATCTGAGAAAGAACGGGGGAGTTGTGGCTTTTGTCCGCAGCAGTCTTTCCTGCTCCAGAGATGTTTCTTTGGAATCAGACGGGAAGGACATTCTGTGGCTTCGCCTCAACTCCAAAACATCACCCAAGTTTATTTGCTGCCTTTATCGCTCTCCCTCGGACCATAACTGGGATGACCTACTCGAATACCTCGCCGTCCAGATCGACTTCCTGAACATCAATCATCCCGCTTCAGAGGTAGTTCTTCTCGGTGATTTCAATGCCCATAACGAGCTTTGGTTGGGCTCAAACAAGACCGACGCAGCAGGTCGTGTAGTCGAAGCGTTCGCTCTTACCCAAGGGCTGATTCAGCTGGTGACGAGTCCTACTTTTTTCCTCCGCGTCTCGTCACACGCCAGTAGCCTGCTGGATCTCTTTATGACCACGCATCCTGCCCCTTACAGCACTGCTGTCCTGTCCCCCCTGGGTAACTCAGACCACGGTGTTGTGGAGACTAGGTTTCGGTCAGAACCCGCTGTGGCAGCAGAAACTCGTACAGGCCGCAAAACTTGGCATTACGGACATGCCGACTGGGAGGGACTCAGAGATTTCTTCAATAGCTTTCCTTGGAAAGATGTCTGTTTCACTGACGCGGATGCGTCGGCTGTCTGTTCTTCGATAACCGAAATTATCCACATCGGAATGGAGGAATACATCCCTCACACAGTGAAAGTGCCTAGACCAGGCTCCAACGGCTGATTTAACAAATCGTGTGACGCTGCTCGCCAGCAGAAGATCAAGGCACACATAACCTTCTTACAAAACCCCACTGTAGAGAACAAACAAGCCGTCGTTGAGTCCAGAAACAAATATAAAGCAGCGGTTTGCAATGCCAAAAACCAGCATGATATAAAAGTTAGGCGCAGGGTAATGTCGCAGCGCAATGGCAGTCGGTCTTTCTGGACGCTGGCCAAGCAGATTGAAAAGAACTTCTCACCTTCCACCACTTACGTGTCAGGAAGGAACTATTGTATTCAACTCAAAGGCCAAGGCGGAAGTGCTAGCCAAGATCTTTGCTGCCAAATCCACCATGGACGTCCTCCCCCAAGTGCCGTGAATTCAAAAGGTTCCCTACACTATGCTGGAGGTAACATTCAGGCATAAGACCGTAAGACGAGCGCTCTTGTCACTCGACATCAACAAAGCCTCTGGTCCGGACTTGATTCCTGCCATTGTACTGAAGAGGTGTGCACCGGAGCTTGCTCCAGTTCTTTCGCGTCTCTTCCAGATAGCTTATGAATCCGGCACCTTCCCAGAAAACTGGAAATTTGCTCATGTCCAACCCATCCCAAAAAAGGGATCTAAGACCGACCCTTACAACTACAGGCCTATAGCTCTGCTTTCTGTTTTAAGTAAGGTGATGGAGAGGTGCATAAATCGCGAGCTTCTGAACTACTTCGAAAGTCACGGCTTGATTAGCGACAGGCAGTATGGTTTCCGGCACCAATGATCCACAGGGGACCTCCTAGCTTACGTCACTCAATTGTGGAGTAAACTCATCCAGTCTCATGTCGTTGCTCTTGACATCACGAAAGCGTTCGATCAGCTATGGCACGCTGCCCTCTTAAGCAAACTTCCATCCTATGGCCTCCCAGAAAAGCTTTGCAGATGGCCGCAAGATATCCGTCGTAATTGACGGGTTCTCCTCTTCATCCCACAACGTCAACGCGGGTGTTCCCCAGGGATCGGTCTTGGATCCGACACTGTTTCTCTTATATATCAACGACCTCCTTTCCTGCACCATCAACCCAATCCACAGCTTCGCTGATGACAGCACTCTACATGCAGGAATTCAGAGTGACAAGCCGATCTCTGCCGCTGAGTTGGAAAAAAGAAGACTAGCGATGACTTCATCTCTGACAAGAGACCTGGAGCCTATCACTGCTTGGGGACGCAACAATCTTGTACAGTTCAATGCTTCCAAAACGCAGTACTGTACTTTGACGAACAAAAAGCGTCCCTGCGCTCACCCGGTTTCGATGGATGGTCGAGTTCTGCCAAAGAGCCATTCATTTCGACTGGTCGGAGTCCAGATCACCGAGGACCTGATCTGGCACGAACACATCTCGTCAATAGCTGCAGCTGCTGGGAAAAAGCTAGGCTATTTGTTTAGGGCTAAGAAGTACTTTTCTCCGCATGATCTTCTCACTCTATACAAGGCCCAGATAAGGCCTAGCCTCGAGTATTGCTCGCACGTTTAGGGTGCTGCCGCCCCGACTACATTATCTATGCTCGATCCTGTCCAGAGGAGGGCGGCCCGACTGATCGATGACTCTTCTCTAACAGACAGTCTCGGGACTCTTTCGCACCGGCGGGCTGCCGGCGATCTGGCTCTTTTCTACCGTTACACCAACGGGCTTTGCTCCTCAGAGCTCTCTTCCGTGATGCCGTCGCGCGATGTGCCTGCCAGACAGACCCGCCTAACTTTGGCGTCCCATCCTAACCGTGTCGAACAATCTACAAGAGGAAGCTTTTCCCAGTTCTATTAACCTTAGGCAGTTCAAAAATCGTATTAATAAAATTTCTTTGGGATCATCATAGCAGCCGCGGTGTT